AGTCGTCCACCACCAGCAGGAAGTAACGCTCGTGACCCTGTCCACGGACGCGGGCTAGGCCCCACACGTCGATATGAAGCGTCTGCATCGGAGCCTCTGTTGGAGGAAACTCGGAGGAGTGAGGAGTGGCGCGCAGCCGCCCCTCAACGCAAGGAACGCAGGTGGGGGCAGGCCCCGGAGGAAGAGAAGGGAGGGACCGGGGGAGACCCGAGACAAGGAAACGAGAGGCCATGCCTCGGAGACGAGGCAGGGAGGGGTGACCAAGGCGGTGGTGCCAGAGGAGAGTCTGGTGAGACAGGAGACGACACGAGCAGGGGGCAGACTCAGGACCCGACCTGGACGCTGCAGCAAACACCTGACTCGACGCAGCTACGTGAGGAGACTCAGCGGTCAGTGTGTACAGGCTCGACCCCGGCTGACGGGTAAACGTGGCCAAGTGTCGGCCCGTTCGAGCACACGTACAGTGGGTCACTCGCTAACGTGAAGGAGTGAACTGGTCAACCCCTCCATCCTGTAGGTCAGCACCACTCACCAAGTTCGTAGAGAACGAGGAGAGGTAAAGACGTGACAGGGAGCCAAAAGGGGTCGCCGGACACGGTAAGAGAGTGGAGAAGTGGGCAAGGACATGACCCCCAGAGGGGTCTGCCAGGGAGACTGGAACCGGCCGACTGAGCGGCATGAGTGTGGTGCGGTCTCGAAAGAAGGAGCGGGAGCACCCGAGTCAAGGGTGAAGGTGTGTAAAACCTGAGCCGACGTGGTACCTGAGAGAGAAGACTCACCAGCACCTGGGGCAGCAGACTCACCAGCACCTGGAGGAGTAGACGCACTAGCACCTAGAGCAGCAGCCTCACCAGCACCTAGAGCAGCAGCCTCAATGCGTGGGTCAGGCGGAACACATAGGTAACAGTCACCCACATCACTAGTAGGCAATGCATACATGGAAGTGAGGATAGCATCATAGTCAAGAGCATAGATATCTACCCTCTGCCTAAGCAGCTCCACCCAGTCGTAGAGCTCAACGGCGTCGCCAAACTCCGTACACCAGGCGTCGCTCAGACGGGCGAAGTAGCGGGACTCTGCGTGACCAAACGTCCCGCAAGGCTGACCAGTCCGAGCACCAGTGCGAATGACGTACGGACAGTGAGCAGTACTTCGTGACCCTCCACACTGAGCGTACCACTCACGAAGCTGCTGGGGCGAAAGGACCGTGCGCGGACTACGCTGCAGCTGCACCTGGCCACTACAAGCAGCTCCCAAACTACTCACGCCAGAACGACTCTCACTACGGCCACCACGACAACCCCAAGTAGCGTACCACTCACGAAGCTGCTGGGGCGTGAGGGACTCACGCGGACGTCGCTGGAGCTGCATCCGGCCACCGCCTGGGGCAGCAGGAGCAGCGGTAGCCGCAGTGGCAGCAGTAGCAGTGCGGCCACCCCTACAACCCCAACTAGCGTACCACTCACGAAGCTGATGGGAGGCGAGGGACTCACGCGGACGGCGCTGGAGCTGCATCTGGCCACGCCAGGATCAGCAGTAGCAGTAGAAAGAGCAGTAGTAGCAAGAGCAGCAGTAAGAGCAGTACGGGCAAGGCAGTGCTCACCAGTGGCGAGATTGCAGGCGTACGACGGCGGCAACGGCGAGGCCGCTACCACTGTAGGGTTAGGGCTCCGCGGCAGCTGCAGGGCGGCTTTTCCAGGGGCGGCAGTTGTAGGGGCGGCTGCTGCAGGGGCGGCTGCTCCAGGGGCGGCTGCTGCAGGGGTGGCTGCTTCAGGGGTGGCTGCTGCAGGGGCGGCTCCTCCAGGGGTGGCTGCTGCAGGGGCGGCTCCTCCAGGGGCGGTTGCTGCAGGGGCGGCTGCTCCAGGGGCGGCTGCTGCAGCGGCGGCTGCTCCAGGGGCGGCTGCTGCAGGGGCGGCTGCTCCAGGGGCGGCTGCTGCAGGGGTGGCTGCTCCAGGGGTGGCTGCTGCAGTGGCGGCTGCTCCAGGGGCGGTTGCTGCAGTGGCGGCTGCTCCACGGGCGTCTGCTGCAGGGGCGGCTGCTCCAGGGGCGGCTGCTGCAGTGGTGGCTACTTCAGGGGCGGCTGCTCCAGGGGCAGCTGCGTGAGGGGCGACAGGGCCGCGAAGGGCGGCGACAGGGCCGCAAGAGGTGGCGACGGGGCCGCGAAGGGCGGCGACGGGGCCGCTAGGGGCGGGGATGGGGCCGGGAAGGGCGGCGACGGGGCCGCCAGAGGCGGCGACGGGGCCGGGAAGGGCGGCGACGGGGCCGCCAGAGGCGGCGACGGGGCCGGGAAGGGCGGCGACGGGGCCAATAAGGGCGGCGACGGGGCCGCTAGGGGCGGCGACGGGGCCGCGAAGGGGCCGCGAGGGGCCTCGGAGGGCGGCGACGGGGCCGCGAAGGGGCCGCGAGGGGCCTCGGAGGGCGGCGACGGGGCCGTAAGGGGCGGCGAGGGGGCCGCGAAGGGGGCCGCGAGGGGCCTCGAAGGGCGGCGACGGGGCCGCTTGGGGCAGCGACGGGGCCGCGAAGGGGCCGCGAGGGGCCTCGAAGGGCGGCGACGGGGCTGCTAGGGGCGGCGACGGGGCCGCGAAGTGGCCGACGGGGCCGTGAAGGGTGGCGACGGGGCCGCTAGGGGTGGCGACGGGGCCGCTAAGGGTGGCGCGAGGGGCCGTGAGAGGGGCCGCTAGAAGGGCGCGACAGGCCGCTAAGGGCAGGGGACGCGACGAGAGGACGGCCTACGGGGCGCGCCTCGGGCAGGGGCGACTCGCGCTCCAGTCAGAAAAAAAAAAAATCGATTTTTAGTGGTGGGCCCTAGGAAGCGTTCCCACTAGGGAACCTGCTCTATACCATGTGAAGAAATGAGGAATGAATGAACTAGCAAGCAGGTGGGTACAAGTAGGAAAACCTAAAAGTGTTGTACCCCATATGCTCTACCCCACTACAGCCTACACAGACTATAGCATACCGTATAGTTCCGGCTAGAAGACCCGCCGGTAAGAAGGTCCCCCGGGACTCTTGAATTGGTAGGGGGACTCTTATTGTGGCCGATTTTGTGAGGACCCCCCCTTCGCCTCTAATCATCATAAGACCCCCCTTTTCTGTATACAGTAGTTGTAATTGATATTGTGCGTCAGCTTTTACTGGTGTAAATTCGAATTCTAACACGCTTTTTGTGTCAGACTCGAATTCTGACACTTCATTTGTGTCAGACTCGAATTCTGACACAGATCTCACGCGCCGCACGCGTGAAATTTTTGCGAATTCGTTACGAATATAAGACCCCCCCACCCCAAATTGAGTCGTACACCCTAAATATCAGATTGATAATTGACAAATAGGTTACCCCGGGTCTTAAAAAATTGTTGCCGCCATAATGTCCACCCAAGCACAATTTCCAGCATTTGTAGAGAGTCCCCCGGGTCTTCTAGCCGGAACTATACGGTATGAGTTTGACACCCACGTGTTGTATTGGGCGGTCTCGTAGAATGAACTCCAGGTGACAGCTGGGCCCGTGGGCCCTTCCTCTTGCGACGGTGGCTCGTAGGCGCGTGGCGACGTCACGATGACTCGCCACCAGTCCATGGCGGGGCCCCTTAGCAGCGAAACGGCATACCGAATCTTCGCTGCGTCCGACTCGACGTAATTCGCGTTGAAGAAGACGTTCATCGTGAAGACCCACGATTGAACCGTCGGACCTCCACGCTGGCTCGGGTCGAAGCAGGTTGGGCGTTGCGGCTTGAGTGGCATTGGTGCCATAATGGCCTGTTCGCCACTTGTCGCCGCGAACTCCACGTGCCGACGGGCTTCGCGAGGCTCCCGCGGGCTTGGTGCGACCTTGTTTCCTCCCATGCCAGGCATTGGCTGGGCGGCGCCATCACTGGCTGCGCCTGAGTGCTGTCCCACGCTGCTGTTTTGTGTTGGTGTGCCGGACGAGATGACGATCGGCTCGTCTGATTGTGCAGATGCATTTGTCGGTGCGTGTGGTGGCGCTGGAGTGTTCATCGTTGATTGCTGACGCACGGAGTCACGTTCCGCCGTGAGCGTCGCAATTTCGAGCGCCGAATCTTCAAGTTGGCGCACCAGACGGTCGAGCTGCTACTGCGTCAATGTGGCGAGCGTGAATTCGGCCATGGCGGGGTTGTCGGGCGAGCTCAGCGAGAGCCTCGGTCGTGGCCGTGCGTGCTTACGAGAGAGCACTACGAGCGGAGGTGCTGTGTCGCTGAGAGACGTTTACCCCCCCCCCCCCCCAAAAAATTGAGATAGTGGGGAAGCGAAGGTGTGGGTGCGGTCCGAGAGGAGATCGTAGGCTCTGATACCAAGTGTTACGAGTGCAATTGAGTGAACGGACGAGAATTGCACTATCGAAGCAAGAGAGTACAATGAGCGAAGAATATATAGCAAAACTACAGTGGTAACGGTAATGGACTGTGGTTGTCGCGCGACGGGCCTGGGACTGAGGTTGGGAAAAGTGTCGAAGTGGAGGCCCGGAGCGCGGTTACCCGCCGAGCCGTGCGGTCGGGGTGCGATGTGCGAAGGTGGCGGGCGGATTGTCGATGCGAGGGTTGCGAGTGGTAACGGTGCTGACTGTGGTGCTACAGTGATGTACGCGTTGAGCAGGGATACGAAGTACGGTAAGGAAAAGGGATTTTCCTTAGAGTAAACAAACTTGGAAGAGAATCTGCTACCTGTATGGAAAACCCATTCTGTACCTGTAACAGCTGTGACTCTGCGAGGCTGGTGCACGAAACCACCATTCACATTTCGCAGTGCTTTCTGCGCTACTCCCCAACTTTCTTTTGGAACATTCGCGAAAATCACATCCGCGCACAAGTAACGGGGCGGAGCAAGCAGGAAAGCGCTAAACCCTCCTTCCATCATTGGCCCACCAAATCGTCGGCTCAGAATCTTGCTCTTCCTCTCCAGACTATATATTCTCGCTTACCTTTTTGTCGGCTCCTCTTACCCCTGAGTAGTCCTGCGAGGCGTTGAAGCAACCATTAGAAGCCATGGGTCGCCGTAAGTGACGCTTACTTATTTCCGATCCAGCTTTTGCGATGCTTATGCTCTTCTCTAATAGATACTCATTCAGTGGCCATCTGTTTTTTGCGCATTTTTTGTGGGTCGTACGTGTGTCCGTGACGTCAACAGGCCCTGCTCGGTGCTACCGTCAGATCAAGAACAAGCCCTATCCCAAGTCGCGATACTGCCGTGGTGTTCCCGGTGCGTCGCTCTTTTCTTTTCATCTCCATCACGGAAATTAGGGTTTCGTCTCGTTCCTTGATGTCAGCACGTGCTTATGCCTGACCTTAGCAATAATCCGTGTAAATGCTTCTCTTGACGCGATTGATTGTGACGTGGCACTCGCTATGGCTGTCTGGTAACGTGCAGATGCGAAGATTCGCATTTATGACGTGGGCATGAAGAAGAGGGGCGTCGACGAGTTCCCCTACTGTGTGCACCTCGTTAGGTAAAAGCCGCCGCGTCAGGAACGATCCCTCGTCGAGTACGACCGCCTTGTCGTATGTGCTTCCGTTTTAGGCCACTAGACACGCTTTTAGGACCTGGCCCTTGCTTTATCCGGGCGGGGACAAACGGCGGCGGAGGCAGGAAAACGTGTGCTTCGCTCATAATAGATTCGAGAAGTTGATGCCTTGCCCTAAGACGTATCGGGCTAGCGGCTCGATCAACACCGTCGCAGCTTCGCCTAGTAGAGTCAGTTCTGAGAATAGCTTTCAGGCCGTACACACCGATCGTTACGTGCGCAGCAGCAGCAGCAGAAGTTTTCGGCGACGTTGATTCTGTTCAGCATTCTGGAAAGTCGACGGTAGGGTATTTAGTTCCACGTGTCCTCCGCACCGTTGCCATCCAGCAGTACCGTTACCTTGCAGCGGTCCCCAGCGGCTGCAGTGCGAACTCGTATGGATAACCCCGCTCGTTGATCCTGACCAGTGTGTGCGTTTAGTTCACTAGTCATTTCTGCTCGAATTTCTCAGTCTTTCACCTTCAATTCGCCCTTCTCTATCTCTCACGTGTGCCGTTGGGTTCAAACCTAAGTTGATTCCGTTCTCCCGCGCCGGTTCTCCGAACGCTTGAACGTCAGGGCTCAGGGTTTAGCAGCGATGGTAAATATGACGATTGAGGCCGCTGCTCGTGCCTAAGCGTAACATGTACTTACGCAAGGTGTCAATCCTGTGCGCTCTTGCCTTGCCAAACCAAGCCAAGATTCTGCCGTAAATCCGCTTCATATTGAATCTCCCCTCTTTAAATTTCCCCCCCAATTCCCCCCTCCGTGCTGCCTGCCCGCTTCGTTTGCGTGTGTGTGCTCGGTGCAGTTGGGAGAAGGAGAACGTGTCGAGCGAGGCGCTGGAGGCGGCGCGCATTGCGTGCAACAAGTACATGACCAAGTACGCGGGCAAGGACGCCTTCCACCTGCGCATCCGCGTGCACCCCTTCCACGTCCTCCGCATCAACAAGATGCTTTCCTGCGCTGGGGCTGATAGGTACGTTCTCCTCCCCCCCGCCCGCTATTTGGTGCGCTCACCTGTGCATCCGCTTGCACCCTTCACGTTCTCCGCATCAGCAAGGTGCTTTCCTGCGCCGGCGATGATGGGTGAGTCTGTGCTGCGCCCGCGCCGATGAGTGCGCGCTTGTGCTTGGACCCAGGAAACTTGCGCTGGCTGTATAAAGCATGAGTGAGATCCGAATTTGTCAACGCGAATAACGTTTAATGCTGCTTTTTGTTGTTCTGTTGGCAAAGCCGCATGGTGCGTTCACCTTCTGAGTAATCGCGACAATCATTGTTTCACTCCCGTTGTATCGAGCAGGCTCCAGACGGGGATGCGCGGCGCGTTCGGAAAGCCCCAGGGTGTGTGCGCGCGCGTGGCGATCGGGCAGGTGCTGCTGTCGGTGCGCTGCAAGGAGGCCAACGCCGCCGTCGCCGCGGAGGCGCTGCGCCGCGCTAAGTTCAAGTTCCCCGGGCGCCAGAAGGTCATCGCCAGCCGCAAGTGGTGAGCTCCCGCATTCTGCCGCCCATGGGTGGTTGAGCTGGCTTGTGGGTCAAGGGCGGGTGGGAGGGGACAGGAGAAGGTGATTGGAGAGGAGAGGGCAGGAGAGGAGATTGGTCAGTAACAGTGTAGGCTTTGGGGAGTGGCACTGTGGCTGGAAGTGTTTTCAGATTCTTACTGAGCTTGGTGTGTTCTCGCAAACTGATCATGCTTCTCACGTGATTAATCGTGTTTCTTTGTGTGTCCTGGTGTGTGGTGCAACAGGGGCTTCACGAAGATTGCTCGCGCCGACTTCGTGAAGTGGAAGCAGGAGAACAGGCTCGTGCACGATGGTGTCAACGCCAAGGTGCGCTTGAGGGGCCTCTGTTTGCTTCCGTTCCATGTTTCATGTTAGTTTTGCTTCTTGTGCTCTCTCTCTCTCTCTCTCTCTCTCTCTCTCTCTCTCTCTCTCTCCCTCTCTCTCTCTCTCTCTCTCTCTCTCTCTCTCTCTCTCTCTCTCCCACTCAGTCCCTCACTCACTCTTTCGTACACACAATGTTATGTTTGCCCCCAACCATGACACCTCCCCCCATGTGTGTGTGTGCTGCCCACCTGCCTGCCATGACAGCTGCTGGGCAACCACGGTCCTCTTGCCAACCGGAAGCCGGGTCAGGCCTTCCTCACCCCTCCGGAGAAGCACGACGCGTAGAGCCACACTTTCTGACCTCAATTCGGTGCATTCAGATAGGACCCTGAGCTCCTTACGGTGATGCAGTGGTTGCGGCTCAAATGTGAACTGTTGTAGCCATTGGCAGAGCCTTGTTCCTGGATGAGATTTTTTGAAAGGTTTGGTCTGTGCGGTACAAAATTATTTTTGTCATAAGCTTACCCCCAACCCCTACACTGGCTTAACTCGTACAGGAACACCCATCTGTAAAATACACCCGTTTTTAAGACACCCCATGTCTTCAATTCGACACTGTCGTATATCCGGGCGATGACGGTACGGTGTACCAGTAGCCGCTTCGCGTGCTTGCCATGGTTATGGAGGTCGATACCGTACTTGGTCAGAAAAGAGCTAGCCTGCAATAGTGAATGCCAGGCCATGTTGGAGCGTCTCACCTCTCATGGAAGTCAGCCTGGAGCAGGTCCATTGTGTTGGAAACAATCAGTGTTAAGCGCTCCCGTCGTGTCGAAACACTAAGGCACAAGCGAGGTACTGCATACCGAGGCACCTGCGAGTCAACTCTAAGAGGCTGAAGTAACCGCTGGAGGTTACAGGAAAGTCAAAGGTCAGCGACCTTTGACTTGACAAAAGCAGCGTGACAGCAAGGACACACAACTGACTCAATATTGAGCAGTTGCCCGAGTCGCACTGTATCGAACAGCAACAGCCAACAGTAAAACAGTTATCATTCATATCTCTTCGTATTCCTTGTACTCTTATATAAACCTTTGTACTTGTTTGCTTGAATCAACTCACTTTGTTCTCACACACTAGTGCAAAGTGGTTCAAAGTCTCATCATTAAACGCTTCCGCTACTACATCACTCTACCCAGAGATTTACCCTACCAAAGATCCTAAGGGGCTTCTCAGCCCAACATGGTATGAAAGCGGTTAGGGTAAAATCTTTTTTCTCCTTCAATCACACCAAAAGACATGTCTACCAGAAAGGAGAGGAGCTCCTCCAACGGCTCTCCTGGTACTACTCCTACTCCACCTCCTGCCTCTGGCCTACAGACAGAGGAAGGCACAACAACAAGACCGGCAGAAGGGTCTACCGAAACACCCGCAAACCAAGGCGCGGGCTTCGATCCAAGCATGATGGAGAAATTCTTCTCCTTCATGTCCTTCTACGAGCAGCACTAGCAAGGAGTATTTGCGCAATCAAACAACAGGAACAACAACAACAACGTGACGCCCATGAGTCTCGATGGCTCATCCTACGCACGCGAAAATCAACAACAACAACCTACCTTCGCTCCGTACGAGCTCCAGCGCGGCTCCGTCAGCTTCATGCCACAACCACAACCTGCACCGGGACAAGAAAGGACGCTGGACGCACTACAAGTTCAGTCGCAATTCGCGCACGTTCTAAAACTGCAAACAACAAAACCCTTCGACGGGAAGGACTTCTTTACCTGGTCGTTCGAATTCGAGCTGATGATGGAAGGAGCGCAAATCCTTGGCTTCTTCGACGGGTCCCTGCCATACCCAACAAACGGCACACAGTATGAGAAGCAGCAGTACACCTATCAATCGATGATGGCGTACACGATACTACTGAGGAACATCACCCCGACTCAACAGCAGAACATAAGGACTTACCGAAGATATGGCAACTCCGCGGAGCTCGCGTACAACCACTTGAAGAACCTGTATCAAGCAACAGACAGCGTAAACCAAAGTCGGTTAATGGCGCAGCTGACAACAATCGAAATGAAACCAGGCGAGAAGGGAATGGCGTATATCAGTCGCTGCCGCGAGCTGCGCGACAAGCTTCTTCGATGTGGAGGATCGATTTCAGAAAACGCCTTCGTCACGATTGTCATCGGCGGTCTTGGTCCTCACTGGCGCTCCACTCGTGCCATACTACGAGCACACAGGAGAATCTCCGAAGCAGCACTCTGCGCCAAAATCCATGCTGAGCAGCAAGACATGGACCTGCAAAAAGAACGACACAAGAAAAAGGTATCAGTACCCGAATTCGCGTTCCACACTCAGCGACGCTACAACTACAACAACAACAACCGGCAGCAAACGAAGCCAGTACCTCTGTTCTGCCACATCTACAAAACTTCAGGACACCCGCGTACACATTGCCCGAATCGTCAACAGTCAACAACTTCACAGCGGCAACTTCGACCTTCAAGCAGTCAAGTCGCCTCAACGCAAGCAAATCCGACAACCTCAGTACAAGTCTCTGTCAGAATGAGAAACAGGAATGGAGTGACTAGCAGGAACAACAGTACAAATATGAAACCCTAAACTGGTGTACCCCCTATGGTGTGACCCACTACAGCCTAGAACCACACAAACATATAATGTTTGACACACCCCCATAGGCAAAGTGGGGGAGACCTAGGGGTTACAAGACCAGTCAAGGCAAAGCAAGGCAAACAAGCTCAGGGTGGATCTTGAGGATTCCACACAAATTCCGAGCACAAGTAAGCGGTCACAAGACCAGTTCACATGCACTTTTATAACAGAGCAAGAGGTACAATGATCACAACCTAGCAAGGGCAAACATGCAGGTATATATATAATGATCACAGTACAGGCAAAGTCAAGAAGTAAGCAAGTGAGGAACAGTCGGCACAAGGCCTAGAAGAGTGCAAAAACGCTGATGGTCAACAGGCGGAAGCGCCTTGGTGAACACATCAGCAGTGTTGGCCTCAGTGGCCACGTAACGCAGAAGAAGCTGACCACGCTGCTGTAGCTCTCGAGCTAGAAAGTAACGTAGAGCAATGTGCTTCGTCCTGTGCTCCAGTCTGTGCTCCTGACACAAGGCTATGGTTGCCTTGTTGTCGACGTACAGCACTGGAGGAGAACGAGGCTGCTCTCCAAGGTCAGTCAGCAGGTAGGTGAGCCAGCGAAGCTCCTGGGCAGCCATGGCCGTGGCGTAGATCTCAGCCTCACAGCTGGAGCTGAGAACAGAAGAAGAACGAGTAGAACGCCAAGAGACAGAGCCAGAGCCAAGACTGAAGGTGTAACCCTGAGACGACCGCTGAGTAGCCTGGTTGTCTGCCCAAGAAGCGTCTGAGTGCCCAGTGAGAACAGGCCGGTCTCGCCCTCCAAGCACTAGCCCCATGCCCGACGTACTGCACAAGTAGCGCAACACCCTCTTAGCTGCATCCATGTGCTCCTTCCGGTGACGGCCGGGAGCGACATAGCGTGCTAAGATGCTGAGAGGGTATGCAAGGTCAGGTCGAGTGCAGGTCATCAGGTACATGAGGCAGCCCACAAGCTCTGGATACGGACCACTCGGCTCTACGGACTCATCCGAAGGCAGAGCTGAGAGCGAGTGTCCCGTAGGCAGAGGAGTGGACTGAGGCGAGGAGTACGTGAAGCCGAAGCGCTAAAGGACCTGCTGCACCATGTGTGACTGAGTCAAGGTGATGGTGCGCCGTGCTCTGTCCCGGGTGATCCGCAAGCCAAGATAGCTTGTCAGTTCACCCAGGTCTGTGCACGTGTGTCTCTTCTGCAGCTCGGACTTCACGTGAGCGAGACCAGCTGTGTCAGAAGTGGCAAAGACCAAGTCGTCGACGTACACGAGGATGTAGAACGGCGGCAGTGAGGTGTCGGTGCGTAGAAACAGCGACGGGTCAGCAATAGAAGGAGCGAACCCAAGAGCCGCAAGTGTAGTCCTCAGTGTGTCGTGCCACTCACGTGGCGCCTGGCGGAGACCGTAGACTGGCCGCTTGAGGCTCCACTGGGTACCAGGAGGGAACGACCCAGTGAAACCAGGTGGGCGGCGCAGCCAGATCTCCTCGTGCAAGCTGCCCTGCAAGAAAGCTGTGCTGAAGTCAAGAGAGTGGAGCTCGTAGTCACGCTGAGCGGCGACGTGTAGCAGAACCCGAAGAGTGGTCATCTTCGGGGTCAGGGAGAAGGTCTAGAAGAAGTCAACTCCCTCTCGCTGACTGAAGCCTCGTGCAACGTAACGCGCCTTGAAGACAGGCGGAGAGCCCGGCGGCCGCTTCACCCTGAAAATCCACATGCCACTGATGATGTTCGCCCCAGGTGGAGGAACCTCGTCGACGTAGGTGCTAGTGGACTTCCAGGAAGCCATCTCTGTGTCCATGGCTGTCTGCCACTGAGAGGAGTAGGGACCGGCCATCGCCTCTGCGTAAGAGCGTGGGGTCGGGATGTCTGGTGCATCCGGGTCTCCCTCAGGGGCAACAAGCATGGACACGAGATGGGGCAAAGCAGCGGCAAGGCAACCAAACTCCTCCTGCCTGTCCTCAAGAACGTCCGTGCCAAGAGCACACTCACCCCCGACGGACGGAGGACAGACAGACTCAGACTCAGCAACAAGACTCGCAGTGTAGTCTACACGACACGCAGCTGCAAAGTCGACAAGCTCAGTGACTAAGGCAGACGCAGCAGCGGACTCAAAGGAAGGGTCAGTGACAACTGTAGCCAGGAGACGTGTGACAGTAGGACTGGCAGCGCGAAGGGTGTCTGACTCCGGGTCAGCAAGAGCAGGAAGAGAGGACGCAGGAGGCGACGGGAGAGCGACACGCTGCGGAGCAGTGGACTGACGAAGCGCCATCTGGTGAGTGCCTGGGACAGCAGGAGGACGCTGACGCTGGACTTGACTACCAGTGGTAGCAGCACGAACAGGCGACGCTCGACGAGACGCAGGTGACACAGGACGTGACGCAGGCTCACGTCTCTCAGCAAGACCTCCAGTCGGACCAGTGTAAGGAGTAGGCACAGGGAGCGGGGAGGCAGGCGGTAACTGTGGCTGTGACTGGATAGACGGCGGACACTCTAAGGCGAGAGGAGGACAAGGAGGAGGAGTCTGACCAAGAACCTGCTGAAGGAGCGGAACGAAGTACGGCCGTGGCCGTGCAGCAACTCCCGAACCAGCAGAGACACCAGCGGCAGGGTCCTCAGCACCAGCAGAAGCTCCACCCTCCGGGTCCTCCACTCCAGCGGCAGCAGCAGCACCTCCAGCAGCACCAGCAGCACCTCCAGCAGCAGCA